ATAATTGCTACTAGTTGTGGAGGCGATGGAGTTCTGAATACTTTGTATTATTGTTGGAAATAGCAAGTTGAAGAGGTTACCTATGTGATTGGTGATAAATTGTGTGATGTTGATAATGAAGGAGTTATTGTTGTCGTATTGTTTAAATTGATTGTTTGTTTGATGATTGTGACATTGTTGACGATAAACATTATTTGCATTCATTGATTGATAGTGATTATTAATTCTTTGAGTGAAATTAGGAATATTGTTAGTTGTAGGCAAGGATGGAACGTTCGTTGAGTCATAATGGAGTGGTGGCGTGCGTGATTGTTGAGATCTGGGACTGGAATTTACATATTGCTGTTATTTCCCACTATGTTCCTATAATATGTACATTCTTTGGACCTGAGGTCAGTTCTGAGCTTCCCCATGCAATTCTTACAAGTAGTTTATTTCTTTGATGGACAGTTTGCTGAAAGGTGTTTTTTTGCACAGAACACACACGAAACTTCGTAGTTACAGTTATGTCTACTGTGTCCATAGTCTAGGCAACGGTAGCACTGAATGGGACCTACAGTTTTCTTTCTTCTTTCCGGCTTTACTATGGAGTTGCAAATGTATTTTGATTCCAAAACACTTTCTATTATTTCGGTGCCGTTGAATTCTACAGCGACTACTGGTATGGAGGCATTGTTCTTGTTTAGTCTCGTGACCTTTTAACAGATGGAAATTGAGATACGATGTCTTCGAAAATTCCGTTTTCCGGAATTGTGAGATGAATGTTTTTTATCACAATTGAATATTTCTTTACACTAGGATCTGAGTATGTATGGAACGTTTAATTATAATTATAAAGATATTTAATTGCAACTCTGAAGTGGATATAGTCGCGTGAATTGTATTTTAATTTATTTCTTGAGTTAGTGGTAAATATAGTTCATTAACTTAGTTTGATTTCCTTATAAATCTCGTAAGATTTCTAATTCCTGTAAATAGATAGGGCGGATTTTTGACTCTACTGTTACTTCAGAAAACTCTTCATATAAAAAGCTGAATCTATATTGACACATCTTCATTATAGTGTTTTGCAAAATGTTACGGGTTCATTCTGAGAAAGTTCTGTCGAGGTCATGCGTTGGCGTCTCTTCACTGGCGTCGCCGCTGTCCTCGCGTTTCGCTTGCCTGCATACCTTGTTTTGTTCGTCACAGAAGGTTGATCGAGGTTTGTGTTGTGATGAACCTTGCGTCAGATTAGATCGGTGCCGACGACGATCCAGTCGTATGAGAACTGTTGAATGAGTGTTGTTGAGGCTGGGACGTGCTGTCCTCGATGTACTCCATCCTGCTGCCCGTAAAGTTCAAGCTGCTTTCTGCGACCGCGATGTTGGTTGGATATTCTGGATTGTAAATTGATTCTAGGGCTTGAGAAACTAAATGCCCTGAGCTGAGAAGATCATTGTTAGACATAAGTATTGTGCACTAACACTAAACACGCACTTTCGTCCACTTAATACTGATTACTACTAGTACTGAAAAACTTTTCCACCACTGTTCTGCGAAACGTCCGGAGCGATGTTGCTTGGTTGAGAGCGTAGAGCGAAGTGTATAAATGTTCATCATTCAGATTCCGATATTAATGCCATATCGGTGTTCTCGGATAGCTGATTCATTGGGAAGATGATTATAATGTGGTGGAGCAATTATCATAGGGGCGCGTAGAAGAGAGAGGGAAGCCCTTTGAAATTTTTGAAAAAAGACATTACGTAACCTCACCGTAACATAACCTTACGTAGTCAAACATTTTATTTCCGTCAATATGTCTAATTCATGATCAGTTACATATTGTTTTCCTGAATATATTTTTACTTTAGCTGAGTTTATTCATTTTTATTCATCGCATTTCTTCAATCATCTTTGACTATAAGGGTCATGTAATGCTATTAACAGTAATATCATTCAAAAATTTGGCTTATTTTCCGTCTTTTTAACCTGAAATTTGGGAAGTTGTCACACATTTGGAGAAGAGGCCATCCAAGTCATCTGGCAACCCTGTTAGAACTTCAATATAAACTCAATTGCCTTTTTAAAGTTTTTCATTTAAGTTATAATTATATTATCCGAGTTGTATGTTTTTTAGGGCCGGTTTCACCAACAGCCAAGTAAAATTGAGAGTAGTTACCCGAGAGTAAGCATTTACTCTAAGATAGTAACTCTCGAGTAGAATGTAAGCGTTTCACTATGTTTCTAGAGGGTTATTTTACTCTAGAGTACATATTTTCCGATTTACTCCGCGAACCGCTGAACGCGCAATTTTTCATACACAGTAGATAGCGATTCAAGATGCCGTGAGCCTGAGTGAAGCTGTGAACAAACGCGAACCAACGCTAACACCAGGCTAACACTGTTTATTTCGTTGTTCCATCGTCCATCGTTTCGGAGTTCTTGGCGGCGTCTTGTGGTGTTTTTTACGTCTTATGTTGTGTTTTGGTAATCCAGCGTAGAATATTTTTTTGTTTTTATAACATTATTTCTTAGTCTTTGTAGTTTTGCAGTCTTTATTAATATTTACTTGAGTTATATTTTATTGTGTAAACGTATTAATCCTATTATATCTTTATTTCCCTCTTACTTGTGGCTTCGTTATTTTTAATTTTATTGCTTTCTTTCTATTATTTTTCGTGGTTTTATAATAAATTCCCCCTCTCCAATGTTCTTATTTTAATTTTAGTTTGCTTTTGTATTAGATTACTTATATTAGTATAGCTCTTTATAGAAAAAATATTATTTTTTCATTATCTTAAAATTCACCCTCAAAGAAGTTCGTAGTGGAATTGTAGTCTATTCGTTCATCGTTCATGGTGGAGATTAAGAGGTCGAACGCATCATCGAAACAAGAAAAAGCTCGCGTTTGGCTGAAAATAGTGAGAATATATAATTCTCGCACATCTTTGGCCCACAAGGAAGCCCTTACCCTTCAAAAAGTATGAATTAACATTAAAAAATGCAAAGAAGCTCTTAGGAAATTTGAGGAGGGAAGCCAATAAAGGAGGTGAAAATAAGATTCATGTGTACTAAATTAGCATTGTAGCAATCTAATAAGTATGATATATTTTGATTTGAATAGGTGGTAGACCCTTAAAAAAAGACCCCTCCCTCCAATATTTGAAACAGTTAATGAACAGATTGGTAGAGCTGCAGAAGGATTTCACAATCCTAATGATGCAGATGATGGAATGATTCAGCTTACAACAGATTTGTAAATCATTCGTTCTTTTAACTGTTTCATTATTATTTTATATATTTTTTCTGTGCTCAATTTCGTAAAGTGAAGTGTTACTCTAATGTGTTTTCCAACAGATAAAATTACAGAATATTGATGTGCTCCTTAAAGGAAAGAAAAGTTAAAGTTCAGTATACGGTACACCCTTAGAGAGGCGTGGCGGCGACGGAAGGGGGAGAAGGGGATTCTCCTTAAGCCCTCCCTCAAATTACGCTAAGCGCTCTGATAGCAATGAATAGAACGTACCGATTGGCAATTGTTAGTGCTTGTAGAGTTTCTAGGCGCCCTCAAGGGACGACAAAAACCTCTCAGTTGAGTTTTTGCCCCTTGAAGGCGTCTCCAAACACATTCTGCCAGGTAGTTGTCGAACTGGCCAGCTGCGCGGCGCTGAGGCATATTTCGCTTCATTGTACTCCACATTGTGCTCCAAAATGGTGAAAACCCTCGTCTTCTAAGCAGTTATAAAACTTCCATCAGTTCGAGAACACGATGGGCACCGGCTTGATGAAAGACTTATCAACGCCCAGAAGCTCCACTCTGCTGTGTTTTAACGACCTTGCAAAAGGCGCGCTTCATCTTTCGTTCGCGAGCCCCAAACAACCATTTCCCAACCACTCTCTTGCCAAGATGGTACTTTCGGTGACCAAACGTGCTCACATCTATTTCCACTTCCACACCAGCGTCTCCAATTGATTCACTCTCTTTATCAGCCGCACTGACGCACAACTCAGGACAAAAATCCATCCAGTCAGTTGCGATTCTACTGCTTACGTTGAGTTCATTCATAATAAATTCACACGGTACTTTCATGACCCAAAGATAGGTTATTAGTAATACCTGATATCATACTCAACTTGCTTCCCGTGAACCATGACCCCTTCCGCACTGAACCCTTTCGCACATGAGGAGTGGCCCCTTTCTTGCTACTCTTCCACTCGAAACCTTTCGCTTGGCCAACCTCATCGGACACACAACTTACTTACACACAACAATCTTACACACAAGACATCTGGATCCTGTAGCAATGAAACCACGTTCTTGCGCTCCTTCAATAACAGCCAAACACCACCTTCGGCACAACGTGTAAAAAAAGCCCAATTTATTCCCACCATCATAGCACAGACACTCGACAATCAAAAACACGAATCAAAAACAATTTGAAGAACGCAAGAAACGTAACTGCATGACAGCAACGTAGCTAACCACTTCGACAGCTATCCCAAAAAATCACTTGAACACTACTAGGCACCGCCATTTAATGTAGCTCCGAGGAGATCCTCCCCACCTAACTTTTGGCGTCACGTCAATTACGAACCATAAAAATTATTTCAGAAGTGTATTTTTACAATTTAATTAAGTAGCCCACGCTTTGCTTTACACACATATATATACATAGATATAGATATACTAAGTTACGAACATTGCTCACCGCTGCTCCTCACCTCGTAATACCCTAAACACCCCTCGTCCCCTCCACCGTCGTTTTCCCCTTCGCCGGAAGTGCTGGTTTAAACGACTTGCTTAGGTGGTAACGTATACTAAATTTTAGCCGAAAGAAATAATTCATATAACTTCTAGTTATACGTAACTTGCTGATAAATATACATTTTGTTATAAGCATTCAAAAGATTGAGAAGTGTGGTAGTAAGCAACCATGAGCATACTTCCATTGACTCAACACTGGGTATATTGAAATGATAGTTCCTGCAGTTTCAAACATTATTCTTTAAGAAACACGCTATGAGACGTGGATATGTGAAGGAGCCACAGCAACTAGAAGAGGTGGAGGAGGATGATGCTTATGTTGCTGCTGCTGTTCAATTTGAAATTCACCCCGAGGTGGAGTCTCCGGAAAGAAGCGAGACTGGGGTAAAGTGATTTTCGTGAGTTTATTCTATTTTCAATTGTTGTATTTTGTGTTTTTTGTCTCTACACACAAATGATCACAAGAGCAAAATGCAATATCCAGTGTAATATGTTACTGGTTATAAATTTCCATTCACTAATGATTCTATTTTTATTTAATTTATCAAGGTTTACAACTGGGCCTCGTAAAACCCTCGAATGCTGCGTACCCCAGTCTCAGCCTCATTAATAGCGAATTATAATGTCGATTTTGAGGTTGTAGGCAATATAGGGGAACGTGAAATGTCCAATTTGAACCTAAATAGTACAAGAAACAGAAGGCGGACCATCTTGTCGAAAAGTTCGATGGAATGCTTACACGAAAAAATTTTAAGCAGCAGAACTTAAAGTGACACTTGCCAAATAGGAGAGGCAAGGTGCAATGCAAGTACATTTGCTGGAAATAGAACTCAAGAGAGAGAAGATTCGGCAGGAAAAAATACATTCAATAATGCTACTAAAAGAGTTAAAAAATGTAAAATTAAAAAAGTAAATTAATTAATGCTACTACCTCTGTGTGTTATTTTTTGCATTATATTTGCAATGTAGGAAATATCAGCAATTGTGAGCTCTGTAGAGTAGTAGCTTGGAGTTGGACTAATCTCATACTTTCTCCTAAGCTTATGGAAAATAACCAGCATGAAGTTTAAATTTTGTGGAAAATTTTCTTGTAAGGGTATTAGTTAGATGATTTATTTGGAAGGCAAACTAAAATTGATAGTAAATCTAAAAAAGAATTACCATTTCCAAAGAATTAAAATTCTGGTAAGAAGTAAAAAATCTTATGGCTAAATGGAGAGTAGTTTACTTTCATGTCTGTGAATTTTTTTGAATTCCAAATCTATTAACATTAGACAATCTGTTCAGAGTCATTGAAACATGGAACAACGCATTTTTTGTGTAATTGTTATGAGAACTATGTATTCACATCAAGTACATACAAGAGAAAGAAATTCGAAAGTTGACCATGGTTTATTATGTTCCAGATGAAGTGATCATACTTTACAAATAAAATGCGTTGTTCCGCTATTTAAATGATTACATCCTTTTTTGTTCTGGTCACTGAATTGATTGTGAATCTCAACATACCCACAATTCAGAAAAACGTTAATTAAATTATACCAATTATGAAACTAAAAAAAAATAGTATGAGAGTCCTTTGGATTGAACTCAGCCTACACAAATTCAGTCTACGTTGGAAGGTAAAACATGCACGGTAAATAGAAGGCATATCAATTCAAACTCATAATAATGGTAACAAATAAGATTTATTGCTGAAATTAAAACAAGTCAACATTGAATACAGTGTTGGAAGAGTGAAGAACGAAGTACTTTACTTTAACCTGGTGGCCGGCAAAGATCATCCCAGTATTTACTTAAAAGTGCCCTGGAAAACCAGAGTCAGGATGAGGGTACATAACATATGTACCACGAGACGCAAAAGATGTTGACATGGCACCTCATAGCAAACTGAAAATAATACAAACTATTAATGGACCAAATTATTTAAATTCAAAATAATTAGACTTATATACCTTTAGTACATTACTTGAATAAGACAATAATTACATTTACTTTTCAAAATAGTTTGCTATCAGAGACGGCCGAGCAACATCATTTCCTTCCTTCTCCTATCTGATTGGACAGCTATTTGTCCTTCCATCAGAAGTTGGGGCCAAAGGGCAGGGAGAACAAGGTCTGGATCATCAGGTGGATCTTGTTCTCCCTGCTGGAGTAGGAGATTGTGGACTACTGCAGTAGCTACAATTACAGGAAATATGTTTTTTAATTTTAATCTTATGCCTAGAGCGAGAACAGGAAATTGCTTCTTCCGAATTCCAAAGAGGCACTCCACTACATTTCTGGAGCGAATCTGGGATTTATTAAATAAATTTTGAGCTGGGGAACGAGAATTTTCAAGAGAGGCCATCATGTAATGGGTTGATGCATATCCTCCATCAACCAACAAAACACCATCCCCACTCTCCAAAATTGCACGCCGAGCACAATTGTTGAAAATTGTGCTGTCGTGAGCGGACCCAGGCCATCTGGCTACAATATCTGCAAACTCTATATACGAGTTACATATGGCCTACACGTTCAAAGAAAAATATTTTTTTTCTATTTCGGAATAGCTCAGAATTTCCTCCCCTCTGCACATAAAAATCAAAGCCACAGCTCTCAGAGGAAACAGAAGAATAATTTAAATTTCTGTATATTTTTTAGCAAAGACATTCATTTACCAGGAGAAGAAATCCTAATGCGTGTGCAGTCCGTTGCACCAATAGCTTTGGGAAATTAGCTATTTCATAAAAATTGAGTTATTCCCTATTTATTTCTTCCGCTCTCTGAGGGAATGTAATTAACACCTCTCGTAGGGAGGCAATGGCAACACTAACTCTCTGAATGATCCTGTGTATTGTGGACTTGCTAGCTTCCATATAGTCGCCCATGGTTGGTTGGGAACATAAAATCTTAGGGTAGTCAGCAGCTGGCCCATTGGTGATACAGAAGCATTTCTAGAAGAGAAATGGCAACAAGACAACTAAAAGAAAACTAAAAATGTGTATTACCATTATCGCTTACATAACCTCATTTTATACGGATTATGCTCTTACAATAAATATACATTACATTACGTTACTTAAATAATAATAAAAATATTGCATTTATAAAACAAAATATATTACATTTTATATTAATAACATAGTTTTTAAATAAGTTTTGTTTAGTTTGCAATGGCCATACCTATCAGAAGTATATTCCAAATCAGCTTCAGTTATTTCAAGTAGAAAAAGTTCTGATGCTTTGGACAACCGGAACTTTGAAACCAAATCCCGATCATCATAATTGGAAAACCAATCCATTCTCTCCCTCACCCATCTTGGTCTTTTCACGGGAATCATCTTCGCTGGAATTATCTTCAAATGCTATCATTCGCAATTGTCGCGCCATAACACTTCGGTGATACACTACACACGCACGTAGAAAACTGAGCTTACTCAGAGTAGAGATACTCTGCAGAGTAGAGAGTTACTCAACCGAATTTCGCCCGGTAAAATTACTCTCAAAATTACTCTCGTGTAAAGTGATTTACTCTCGAGTAAAGTGTTGGTGAAACGCTTCTATAAGTTACTCTCGAGTAAACATGATTCACACCAGAGTAAACTCTTACTCATTGTTTGGTGAGATCTGCCTTTATTTTCCAGCAAAATGCCATACGTAAGTAAAAAGTATACTGAAAAAGGCCAGGAAAATATTCTGTCGCTCTCTTCTTTTAGATTATGCTTTATGCCTGTGGTAATAAGATGGCATATATGTGGCTTTATGCCTGTGGTAATAAGTGGCATAAAAATTGGAGAAACAGAGAAAACCTGTGCCGAACCTCCTATGTTCACCGCAAATTCCACTGGGTTCACATTTTACCCCGTGCATTTCTCGGTGGATAGCAAGACAACACAACGACACGAGTCGTCCCACTAGTTACAAATAGATACCGCTTGACCAGGATAAGCTGCCCATAAATCACCAAGCGCCTCACGCGATCCTATCAGTCGCACCGCATAGCTTCCATTTTCATTTGCGGGTTCTCGCCTGGCAGCGGAGGTGAACGGTCGTGGCCGCTGCTCCGCAGTGCTTAGATTGTCCGTGTCGCTACGCGCAGAAGATAAGCGAACGCAGAGTGCACGAAGTGTATACTACTTAGTTACTCTATTTAGTGTGCGTGTGAATGATTTCAGTATAATTTTAAACACGTCACGAAAATTAAACCTATTTATTTCAAATTTGTGAATTATTCCATTGGTCTGTGAAAAATTATTATTATTATTATTATTATTATTATTATTATTATAGCCTGTTACAATTAAAGGGCATGGGCCTGTGATTGTCGCGTAGATCACATAGTAGAATTCCCGAGTACCCAATTCGGACACCTACTACATACGCTATTTACATACGAAAATACGGAAATATAAACGTTATTTACACACACAATAAGTAACACTTCATTTTGTCACTGTCAAATTTAACACTATTTACATTGATTTCACTACTTAAATCGAATTAGCTAACAGCTTATTCTGCATTGGCACTTATTAAGCTGCTGAGAAAGTGAATGATCTAGTGTAGCACGTGCATTGTGTTAGATTTAGACATGGTCTTCAACTTCAGACGATCCGTTGCCGAGGTAGACTATTGGCAGCCCAACATCATCTTCAATTCGTCCGACCACCTCTTCTCCTGCCTGCCGACGTTTCTCTGTCGAAGTCTTGGATCCCAAGCTGTAATTCGGTGAGTCCAGCGTGTGTGAGGAAGTTGCAGGATGAGACCTGCCCAACGCCATTTCAGGTGTCGAGAAGTGGTTTCAATGTCATTAATTTATATTACCTTTCTAATTTCTTCATTTTGTATTCTCCTTGCCAGGGTAATGTTTAAAGATTTTCTTTCCATTCTTTGGAGGCAGACATTAATGGAATTTGTAACAACGAGAGAGATGTCGAATTAAAACAACCAGCGCATTTCAAACACAGCTCCCGCACCGGAATTCGACGCGCAGTTGAAAAACGCTCGGCCAACCCTTCCCGTGCGTCGTGGGAGGGTGGGGGAGGGAAGGGGGCGGGGGAGGGGAGTGGGAGGGGAGGGGAGTGGGAGGGCGGGGGCGCAGCCCAAAGCGTGCTTTTAATTTTCATCTTCTGCGGGAAAACGCGCTTTGTCTGGGAGTTGAACCTTCCGATGGGAAGAGAGGTGGGACGGGGAAAGAACCTGTTTCGTAAAATTTAAAAAATAGAGAATTTTTTGTTATGTTTTGCCTTTCTTATCGGAGTAATAAAGAGTTTTTAGATTTATCTTTTATTGGAAACATTTTAATCCTCTTCATCCTTTTTCTTTTCTTCAATTCCTGTCCCTAACTTTAATATTTCTAAATACCTACACTTTTCACACCCCTCCCAAAGTTCTTCCAGTTTTTTTTGGAACCAATTAGTTTTTGGCTGTAATAATTTCCTAGAACACGTTTTCAGTTTTTTTTACATTTTTTTATCCATTATTGATAAATTTTATCTTGACTGGGAGTCCTCATTTTTTTGGATTGTTCATTTTTTTGAAATGCGTCTTTTGCCTGGGCAATTACATTTACTTATCATTGGTGCAAGAATTTCATTTCCTTCAACCAATTGAAATTCCTTATGATTAAATTAAATCTTTAAGCGGTAACTTTCTACAAGTAAGCAAGTTTGTCATGTTGAATAATATACTCACCGAATCAATACTGTAGCGGTACAATTAGCATCACCAATCACTCTCTTATCGAAACCTGAATCAATAACCTGTAGGTACCCGCCTGGAAACTCCATGAAGGAAAAGTTTGATTTAAAGTTATGTAAACAGTTTTTTCATGTTAAAGTCTCCCGGGTTCGTTATACAAGACTCTAATGAAATCATGAGGCTCCTCGTTCGAATGAACTTTCCTAAACCTTTGTGTTTTAGAATGTAATAATTTTGAAAGACGCATGCGTGTTCGAGAGTACTCGGTAGGTATGTAAAAAAAACATGGCACAGAAAAAAGGAAATTGTTGCGGCAACATTGGAATACGGTTCTCTTGCCAGAAATCGATATTAAAATTTTGGCCCAGATATTTTGGGTGACGCACTGTAGGAGCAAATTTTTTGGGAACACGGTGGGGCTCTAACGCACCACTCGATTGGTAGTCCCTGATCTACGCAGTAACCCAGAACCGAACAATGTTTCAAACATTGCCATGGCTTGACTCTCAGAAAATGCGGGCAGTGTTTCCAACAACCCCCATTCTTTCGCCACAGGTTACTACTTCAAAAATAATTATACACAACAATATTTGCCAACCATATGTTTGCTTGCGAAGTTTTGCCTTGTTTTGTAGCTGCTCTTTAAATTGAAAATTTTAATTCAAAATATTGTTTTCATTATTTTTTAATGCAAAAATGTGGAAAGTAACTTTTCATTATTTTTTTTTTGAAAACTTGACAATATATAAATATACTAGTCGTTGTGTTAGAGCAGAGCAAAAGACTAATCTTATGTTATCCAATGTAAATTTACTTCGCATAGGTGCACCGAAGCTTAATCAGGATTTTGGCACTCGCTGAGCTCGCCAATGTACTATGTATGTCCGCTCCCTACTCAAATGGTCTGGCCGAGCCACCCGCACAGGGGTCGGGGCTTACATCAGGAGCCCTTGCGCCCCGACCTGCCTCGCCGCTCCCCTTGAGCGCTGACGCTGGGGGTTCAGGGATTTAGCCTCGCTGCGTACCTGCGACTGAGCGCCAGGGTTTGGCTGTCGCTTTGTTTAGGCTGGGAATTTTCCTTATTTCAGCGAACGTGGTGGGGAGCTGATGATTTGTGGTAGGCTCCGCGCCATTAATGCACCTCATTGTGGGAGCGCTCTATAGCAACTTTTGCAAACTAGAATGTCTGCCTTCTCCTAAAGTGCTGCCATCTGACGAATAGCTCTGAGCAAATAACTTCCGAACTGACCTCCAACGGCTCGAATTTTGAATTTCCGCTTGTAATGTATAACGTGCATAACCGTTCTCTCAGCTCTCAACGTTTCGGGCAGTTTGTGGTTTTGAAGATACCAAGATTTGAAGGAAAATGCCGCATTGTCGTGTTCTTCAACTTCATAATTGCCATACTTAATGGAATGGTAGACATGGAAAAATACAAGTTTGCAAAGTAAGTGATATTAATATTTTTGCACGTATGTTAAGAATGGTTTTCTCATATGATTACGATAATTATTTTACAATACATGGCATTAATTCTATAAACATTGTTCCCCCTCAGGTTTTTGTTTAGTCCTAAGCTTATTTTTGTTTCCAATACATTGGGGAATTGGATATTTTGGTGGATACTTGGCAATTTATATATTAAATTTTTATTATAGGTTTATGAAATCGGCTGATAGTAATTAGGACCTAACTACTGGCGTCTTGTCCCAGGAGAACATGAACAGGAGGAGGTATCCTGTGCATCAGAGCACATCTTGCTAGAATGTCGACGGCAAAAAACAGCTGTGTTTGGAATGAGTCCTCAGTAAAATTTCCTGACAATGCCCTGAGGTGCCTAATGGAGAAAATCCAGAGCATTTAGAAGAAAGCTTGCAGAAAGTGAGCGACCATGCATTGGAAGCATTCATGATCATTTAATAATAAGGAAAGCTTTAAAGATTTGTTCAGTTTCAATCATTGTGTCTCTTTGATTTGCAGGCCTGGCCTAGCATGTTGCTATGCTACTATTCCCATTCCGGCTTCCCTTGCATGATCTGGTTGTACAGAACCTGTTTTATGAAGGTGAGAACACTATAAACATCTCTGAATGTTCAATAATGCCTCTATCTGTATTACAGCAGCTCGCTATCTGCTTGGAAAAAGAGTGCAGTGACATCCTGGAGATGGCATTTATTATAAATATGTGATATCAAAGTATCAATATCTGTCAATTTTGCGTCTGTCTTCTTACTACTGTTTGTACAGTGGTAATTTTGGATTTCAAGTGATATGGCCTGTAGTGTGGTAGTGTTTGTTTGTGGCGTCCATTTATCCAAATATGTTCTGTTCAAAAAACGTTGATGATTTTCTTTGGACAGTTGTAAAGTAATAATTACTTCGGGTGAAATGTATTGCTTTCACCAAACAATCAGGCCTAGGATGTGGAGCTAGGGTGAGAGGTGTGAGATGTATGTGTTCGGGGGTGGGTGAGGTCTCAGTGCATATAGTTTTGAGGTTAGGAGATAGTTTTTAAGCAAAGAGTTGCTTTCTCGACTTGTGTTCCCAAAAGTCTATTATTCGGTGCACAAAAGTAATGGTTACTCAAAAATTTGGATACATAATTGTGTAAAGTTTGTGAATACATTATGCATCTCTGTGTTGTTTTCTTTTACACAATATGTTCTTAATTAAACCTCGCCAACAGAAACTAAATTGTCACAAAGTGATGCCATACTCAAATATGATTTTTGAAAAGCGAAAAGTTAAAGTGCACTTTTCTTGCATTTTATCTATTTAAATACATTCATATGTTGAACATTCTCCATTTTGGCGGAATGACAAATAATATTGGGAGTAATCATGGCACAAACATTTGTTTAGCCAGGTTTTGGAGAAGTGATAATATTTGTATATGTTAATCACCATGAAATAATTATAAACGTCCATTGCCAACATAGTAATTAATATAAGAGAAGCTTCTGGATGGTTAGTCATTCATCATCAATTGTCTGGTGAAGTGGAAGCCACAAAAGCGACTACGCTCGTCACCAGCGCTACGTGGCTATTTAATTACACTATTGTTGGCATGACAACGTTTATAAGTTTTATTTTTCCATGAATAAAGGTCCATACGTATAACTCACACAACCACCTATATGTTTAATCACCATTAATGTCCCTAAATTTTAAATTTGCATCACGTGTTAAAAAAAAGTCATGACTGAATGGACGCATATTGAAAATCATTTCTTTAATAATTAATATTCAATTGACTATCTAATAGGAAATACTTAGATAATATTCTGAGTGTTAATGAATGTGCATATTTGTGTGTAATATTTGAGCAACTTACTGTGGTTTTGGGGCAAGGATATGTTTATCGTTTGGGGGTCAGAAAGGCTAAATTTACAAGTCTAAAAAGGTGTATTTTGGGATAAATCGATTTGGCAAGTAGATTCTATTAAATCTTACTCGGATATCTTTTCGCTAGCATGAGGCAATAAATTCGCTGCAGTATAAGATGTATTTTTTTCACTTGGCAATATCCCCAACCGCAGGACTCAAAATCTTTTACTGCATCCCCAAAAGAATCAGTAGAAATCTGCCTTGGCAATGTAAACTCACTAGTCCACAAGACAAACCACGCCTCAGGAAGACTTTTTATACGAGAAGACTCACTGTGTACTAGTTTCCACTCAAGTTTCTTCCTTTAACTGTTTGTCTTTGTGACAACTGATATACCGTAGCTCTTTGGCTACAAGAGTTTGGGATTGTTATCGCAGGATATATTCTTATTTTCTGTAACATATTTTTCACAACTGCTCTAAATGACTGATTTATCCATGATTCTTTATGAACTCGATATACCATCTTAATACTTAATATTCTTTTACAAAGTGAATTGGTTGCACCCTGGCCAGGATTGTCGAACACTGGGCCTTATAGTTTACGCCCCATGATTCCTGTGACCACTTGATAGGAAGTACCGAGACAACTAATACTTACAGTTTTTGGTTGTGGTGATTATCGGATCCCTATAATTTATTAATATTATTGGTCGCCATACCTAGTTGGCGATCCAAGAGGTGTTTGAGGGGAAGGGTGAAAATTTACATGTATAGATATAATTTTAATCTATTTTTCTTGTTACATGGTTTGTATTTTTGTATATGATATATAGCGCAGTGAAAATCATAGGTGGTAAATATTAGTTCGTGGCACGACGATGATTCAACCATAATTTATTTATTTTACATAACATGATTTGTGTTCATGGGTTTTTTTGTAACGATGTGTAATTTAATGTATTTGCAATTAGAAAATTATTTATATGTAATTATTCATACACCTTGACATCATTTACAATCTTACTTTTAACAACTCCCCTCACAATTAATAAATCTTTCAGGACTGACGGACTTCTACACTTATCTTATTCAACGCAAATATCAATTTCAAAGCGTAAAATAAATTCTTTAATTACCTGGCCGTATTGTAAGCCATGTGGTTAAATTTGATAATATTTGGTCACATTGCCTCCGCGGTAACGTCTGCCGCTCGCTGTCCTGCTTTCGCCATTTTTCAATTGGTAGACTTTTCGGGCCTTTTTGGCACGCTTATTGGCTGGCGGAGGGGCCATTAATTTGTGTATACTCTTCTTTCAATTCTTGTATTCGTCTTGCTATGCTGTCGGAGTTGTGGAGGTCGGCACTTCTCCCCTCCATGAAAATAAGGAGCTTCAAGAATAACATTGAGTGCCGACTCTGTAATTACTCCCTCTGCCAGCCGCCTCTGTGCCAGCTCTTCGCTTGTTTCTGTAAGGGCTTCTAAGAAGCGTCGCCGTGATCGTGTCCAGATCCCCACCATATTCTCCCCTTTGGTTTAAGCGCAACCCGACGCGCCCATTCTGTGCAGGGCTACAAGACTTTCTTATATGGCCTTGGCCATTGCTGGCAGATCGGCGCGGATAGGTGCGCCGAAGGCTCTTTTTTTACATTAATTATATTGGACCTTACCTGGCCGGAACTAAGTTGTTGGCTCTTGTTTGCACACTACTCCAGCACGTGTGGAGATATTGTGCCCCCTGGCACCATTTACATGCTACTGGTGATACGGACACTTAACATTATTATAAATATGTTAGTTGGTTTTACATGCGGGCGCTAGCTGCAGTTTGGCACATCATGTGTGCTATCGGCTCGCCCTTCACCGACGGTCGGCTCGCGTCCACGTGTGTGCGAGATGTTTTCCTTGCCGCATGGGCGTTATATATCCGTACTGTCGCTCGTGTTAGCGTAGAGTTGCCAACGGCGCTCTCCGGCCGCGTTCGTACAATGGGTGCTGGTGCTTGACGAATGTTTTATTGCCTGCACACCCTTCCAGTCCGCCACGTCGTTGGGAAGTTTCTGCTCCTACAACTTCGGCAAACAACCTGCTTGGCGGGC